ATATATATATGAGTGAGAGAGAGATATTAGACACAAGTTGGCATATCCAAATTCATGAGATAGGCAGGTGTGATAACGTTCTCTTGAATATATAAAGTGGAATGGCAACAATGCCATATACTATTTAAAAAAAATAATTCAATGAAAATGTTTTTTTTTAAAACTGTTCCATAGTCTTAACATACTGAAAAACCCATACATAAAAATAAATACTATGTAACTATAATTATTTATAAATGTTTATTTAAAATATTTACTACTTGTAATAATTTTTTTATGTTTTAGATTTATAATGATCGTAAATCTTTATTTTTTTTATTATTTAGTGGTTATTATCATGATTGCTAAATAATTCCTAATTTCTTTCTAATGAAATTTTGATATTTTAACTAATTTATTTACAATACCCTTTCTATTTGAAATCATAAATTCTGTTTCAAAACTTGCTTCCATAATTATGCGCCACTTAAGTAAAAAGTGCTTAAAAACAAATCAGCCTCCACATTGTAATATAATGGGTACCATGTTTTTCTCATTAAACGTATGTCCCTTTGAGAAAAGAAATCATGAATTAAAACAACTTTTAAAAACTCATTTTCTCGTACCATGTTTCTCGATTTGTTCAAACAAAACTTATTAACACAAAACCCATTTAATGTTAAGCATTAGGTACTTTTAAAAAAGTCAACCTGTGAATAGGTTTAATGTCTTATACGTTAGCTCTGTTTTCCATATCTAAGAAAAATACTCCTTTATAAAATCAATATTCAGTTCTCTGAAACAATTAAATTATCTTTAGCGTTTTATTTATTAAAAAAAGTAATTAAGTAATTAGTAGCTATTCAGTAATTAATACATGTAAAAAAATATTTTAACATATGAACGAAACTAAAAAAAATCATTTCAAATTTCTTTCAGATAATTAAAAAAAATATTTATTTCTATGAAGATCTTAAAAATTTTGGAATTGAATGTTATAAATTATTTAATAAATTTATTAAACTTAATTTTATTAATTTCAATTTGCAAAAAGTATATTTTAAATAAATAATTAATTCATTTTTAATATTTCAAATTTTTAATTATAACTACATTATTTCATAATGTAAGAGTTTTGCGTCATCAGCATAATTGATATGAGTTGTACAGAGAGGAAAAATAATCACCCTAAATAACTTTTGTTCTAATTTTCACTAACCTAGTGGAATTTTTAAATAGCTGAAAGGGTTAACTTTTGAAAGGCTAATAAATTCTAACTATTTAGTAAGATGAAAACTTATATACACAGAAACGTATTTTCTCTAAAAAAAAAGCCTATTTTTTTTTCTTGACTATCAAAATATGACTAGTAGCCGTAATCAGTAAAACACTGGCTCAATAGTTTTATGAAGAGAGGGGTTCGGAAGTTTTGTACGTCCCTCTGATGTTATTTTTACTTCATATGACTTCATGCCTTAGCTCTGAAACTTATTATGCGAATTAAAACTTCAACACGCAATTATATTTTTTTTATCCAATGAGTCATCTAAATTCTGTTTATATAGGTAAATAAAAATTGTAAATAATTGTTTTTGAATTTTATAATGGTAATAAATGTGAATTGTAGTAGCAATTTTAATGCAAGTTAATTTTGATATCAATTTTAAATTTGCAATTTCAATTAACAAAATCTAAAAATCTGATTTAATACAATTGACAGATATTTTAAAATTAAAATGAAATTACGCTCAATGTACAACTGAAGATAAATTGCATTTTGTAATTGCGAATGTTTGCTCCAATAGATGTTCAGCAGCATTCAAAACATCGCCAAATTTAGGCCATTTTATTCCCAATTTCAAATAATCTATTAACGATATCCAAAGTGTCTTAAAATGAGGGTTAATGAAAGCGAAAATAATTCAAGAATAGTGTGAATGCGATAGAGTTTCGTGTAAGCTTTTTCAATTATTTGTGTTTAGAATTAAAAATTCTGCTATAGCAAATTAAAATCAAATCGAGGATTTTATACACACCTCCTCGATTTGATTTTAATTTGGCATAAAGTGTTCCTTCATACACTTTTTTGGGTGGTCGAACACCAAATTGAATTCAGTTTTTATAGAGTAAAATATTAATTTTCCTATGTGAGTAGTGCATTAACATTTGTGAAAAACGCATTTGAATTTGATGAAATAGTGAAACTTTAATATCAGTGAAGCAGGAGTTCCATTCAAAACTAGAAAATATAGCAAATGGTTCGTAATACAAAATAGTTGCAGGACTTCGGAATCAGATAATATTTGTTTGATCGAGAATATATCCAGATTGATTTCATTCTATTCCGAATAGTTGTTGATTTGATTCAACTTTATGATTTTCTATGGATTCTGTGAGGTACCAATAATTGAAATTTATAAACCGATATTATAATCGATTTCATTGCATTCGCTAACAAAATTATTGTAGTAGTATATGGTATTCATGGAACAATAATTTAAATGATTAATAATGTGTAACTTAAATTTTTAATTACAATTATACAGCAACTAATAAGTAATAATTTTGTTGAATCGTTTTTAAAGCACAAATCTAATTTTTCTTATGTAACTAATTAAGTATAAAATTACTAAGTAAAAAATTTACTTTATTTTTCATTGTCTTAGCTGAATTGTAAAATTGAAAATCAGTGGTAAAAATAATTTATCATTTTCCATTCAATAAAGAAAGCATTCTACTATTTTCAAACTAATTTTGACTTTTCTCTTTATCAATTTCAATTGTGAAAGAATTCTGTTTTAAGTGAAGTCATTTTTTTTTTCTTTTTGAGCTACACCTGAAAATAGAATTATGTATTTAGTATAATATTACACAAATAGATGGCAGCATCACGAATTCGAAATTTCTTTATTTTATTTTGTGATTAAAATATGAGGCAAAAACAAATGGGGAAAACTGTCGGATCAAAAAATATTGTATTATCAATGCATTATAATTTTTTTTTAAATATTTTAACCAGTGTTAAATTGTATTCCATCCTGCATACACTTTTATTTCCATAAAGAGTTAGGAGTTCTTAAGCAGTTTTATAATTTATCAGAGAGAGGGCAGCACTAAAATGTAAATTCAAGTAAGCCCAATAGAGAGCAGCACTATAGTAAGCAAGGGTTTTGTTTGAAAAGGAAAATTTAAATCCATTTAAAAAATTTAATCAGGGAGTCAAATTATACGGCTCACAAACGTAATAATATTCACCATCAATTATTTTTATTTTTCCTAACGTAACAGTAAAAATTGGTTTTTCAAATTAAAAATTTCAGCTAAATTTAAAAAAAAAAAAAAAAAAAAAAAAAAAAAAAAAAAAAAAAAAAAAAACTAAAGTTTTTTTAAAAAATCTTTCTAAAACGCATAGAATTCTTTAAATTATTTTTAAAGTGTAATTTCAAAAATAGCAAGATAATTTTTTAAAAAAAATGCAAGAAATTTTTTTGCAGCTACAAGTTTGCTCTAAAAATATATTGGTGGCTGACTTTAGACGATTATTCTATTAAAAACTGATAAAAATTAAAATAAATAAAAAAAAAACTAGAATTCTGCAAATATAATGGTTTTATTTAAATTTTTAATACGTTCGTGCTAATCAAAAATAATTAAATGAAGAGAGTTATTTAATTAGTACGATTTTTTATAGTTTGAGGAACAATTGTGCCCTTGAGATAAAGTGCATAGATTTGTGACAAGGGTTCATCTACTGATGTATTTTAAATTTTAATTTAAAGAGAAAAAACTTTTTTTCAGTTTATTATCCAAATCGATAATAAATTGAAAAAAAGTTTTTTTTCTTGATGTAAACACAGTTAAGGTATCAAAAGAGAAATTTCTGAAGATAAAAGCTGAGTTCGTTGGCCTTTTTCATTCTAATTTTTATTTATTTTATTTAATTAATTATTAATTTATTTATTTAGAAATGATTATGAATGGTTAGTATCCTTTGAGGTTTAACACTTGAACACATCATTTTGACGCAGGAATTATCTGACAAATAATGAACTCTAAGTATTTTTCTCTTAAGTGACACCACAAACTCTGATATTTTTCTTGCAATTGTCATCCTAATAGTTGTTGATTATTTTGGTTGACTGTTTTAAATAATACTTTAAAAAGTGTCAAAAAATTCATCATACGTTGTTTATTTCGTTAGATTCCTTTTGATAGGTTGTTTTAAGTAATAATTAGTATTGAATGTTAAGTTATTCTGGTATATATTTACAATAATTTTGTTCTGTTTTTTTTTTCTTTAAAGAAAAAAAAGTTTAGTTATGAGGTAATTATTCAGATTTAATTTTCGATCCTATATAAACTGGCTGTAGAAATTTTAAACGTAAGCGGTGGTATCATGCAGTTTACTAAGTATCATATTAATTAATGATGGAGTTTGTCTTTTTCGAGCAATAGCATACATTTGAACAGCGATGGCTCAGGGGATAGAGCGTTCGCCTTCCAGTCGATCCGAATTCCGTATCCGGCTTGCATCAGCCACAGTGCTGACGTGAAATATTCTCAGTGGTAGACGGATCATGGTTAGAGTCCCCTTGCCGTCAGGCTAACCGTGGAAGGTTCTCGTAGACTTCCTCTCCATGTAGCGCAAATGCGGCTTAGCTCAATCAAAAGTCCTCCACGAATGCAAATTTCTCCAAATACTCGATCCAGGAGTTTCCTTGTCTTCTGGATTGGGTTCAAAATTACAAGGCTGCGGAATTTAACATTAGTAGTCGTAAGCCCATAAAATTCGGTCGGCTGTTCAACGACGTTTGTATATAGGTAAAAAAAACAGCATACATCTCTCTCTATATATAAGTGAAAGTCCGTTTGGATTTTAGTTCGCTAAGAGCTCATGAAAGAGAGCACAAATTTCGTGTTTTTTCAGAAATTTTCAAACTTTCAAAGGGTAGTTTGTAAGCAATCACCTCTTTCCGTCGTTAAGTAGTTCCTGTACAATATTGAAAATAAGAAATTTTATTGATAAAAACCATTGTTATAGACGTGCGCTGTCATGTAAACACCATTTTTAAAAAGTATTTGAAAAATCGGACCAGGTGAAACCATAAGAAAAAATTAAATACTCATAAAGCTCACTTAACTCATTGTTTAAGTGTAGAGATTAATTGTACTAAAACAAATATGCAGATGTGCAAAATTTATCGAAAATCGTGTTTAGTAACAAAATGAAGAAAAAAAATTAAAAGCTAATAAAAAAAAAACTGTTTGGGAAGCTAAAACAAATTTTGATTGGATATTAGCAATATTTAAGTAAAGCCAAATTTAATTCGATGTTAGCTAAGATATCAGCTAAAATTTTGAATGAATTTGAGTTTAAAGCTATTTTTTCACTATGAGAAAACTAAATTTCCCCAACCTAAAGAATAATATTAATAGCTGATATTAATAACAGGATTAATAGCTGATGTTAATGAGGGGACGGCATGAGTGGTCGTCTTAAATAAAGATGCTCTTATTTTAACAAAAACATATATTGAAGAAAAATTCACAGATACACGGACGATTAACAATCACATAAATAAAAATAAAAATAAATGAGTTCGTATTTGCGATGTTTTTAGACAATTAATACTCCTCTTTGGAGTCCATATACGTCCTTATCGGTTAGTTCCAAACCGCGCTCTGATCTTAGGGAAATTCCCATTGCTTCCTTGTTATGCGCACAGGGATCAGCATTCAGCTTACATAGTCTGGCTGGACTTCTAGCTTAAGGCGACTTTTATCTGACGGATATGAGAACTGAGATCATCTTACAGCTTTGTGTACAGGAGCTGGTACCACATTAATAACAGGGGCATTTATCAAATTATCTTTCTATCTCCATCTATCGCGTCTATGTAATCTATTCGCGATCGCAACGCTCGAGTACGCCGTCTAGCGGGAGCCTGTAAATATCGGACATTAACTTAATACAATCACATTTTCTGCCATCAAAGTCATTGACTGAATCAGACGCCATTTTTTA